TAATCCAACTCTTGTTTAGAATATACTTTTTCGGATGCGAATGTCTCACCTGAACAAGGGGAGACTAGGTGAAGAAAAACTGTCGTGCTATTCCCTCATAGAGGAGGCGTAGCTCCATCTTATTCTTCGGTTTAGGAGTTCCAGTTTCCAACTCAAAAACCGGCATGATGAGATGGCATCTTCATTCTCCGTCATTCTCGCCATCTTTTTCCAGGGTTAGGAGTCCATGGTTCCAGTCCAGGGTTAGGAGTGATATCTAGGTCGCAAACGGCGAAGTAGTGAGTGCGCGAACTGTTCCTTGCCACGTTCCTCAAGGATTTCCATGCCTCGGGTAGAGCACCTTGGTTCGAGCGAGACTCGCGTTTCTTGCATCCAAGATCTCCGAGATGGAGTCGCAACTTCCATTCCAGAACCTCCACATTGGTTCGTCTTGGTCGTCGAGGGAAAACAAAGCTGAAGGTAGTTCGCTGTTCGAGGATGGGATGTTGAGTCCTCGGGCAACTGAGCAAAGCAAGTGATGCTAAGATGTTCTTTCAACGTCTAATTTAATTCTCTGCCACTGAGTTGTAAGCAGCCAAAAGGAAAATAAATATTTTCTGTGATACTCAAGGTCACGGTCGTTCTAGGTGAGCGTTTGTCAAAGTGAGGAGGGGGTGTTCAGTGTATGAAAGCCCCACAGTATTTAGTTGCTGGGGTCCTTCCAAGAGGATTCTGACGACGATCGAGTCGAGGCTAGCTCTTAGGGTGGCACGAGCCGTTCAAACGAGACAAGATAGACACAAAAAAAATGAATTTTCGTCGTAAGAAAATCACGGAGTGACGCAATATAAACAATCGTGAATGAATCCGCTAACGCAAGAATCCTGTCAGAGCAATCCGGCCTTCTCGAATTTATTCGTCAAATCTACTTCCGTAGGAACTACACTCTAGGCAGACGAAGTACCACGTATTCGTTAAGAAAAGAGGTATTGGACTTGTATGTAGGTGTGTCGAGTAAGTTTTCGCAGCTGTGTGTAGAGGAGGAAATGAATGAGAATTAGTGGTCCATTCATACCTTCATCAGACTAATCTGTACAAGCTGGCCTATGCTGTACGAGGAAAATTCTGGCGAAGTCGACTAGATAGCTAGTCCGGCGTCGACGATGACTTGGAGATTCAATTTATTGAACTCCGGATTTTTTTGTACGGAGACATATGTTTTCCAAAATAATCAGGCTTCTGGAGGACCATATTTTACGAAGAAACGCGAAGGATTTCCAGATTCCGAGTCTTCTAAGAGGCAGTGACAGAAAAGATTTTAAAAATTGGTGGGGGGGGGGGGGGGGGGGGGGGGAATTTTTCTCTAGACAGTGCAAGCGATNTCATTTTTCCTTTCTTCCTGTCATTTATCTCTTACAGTAGCACTTATTTCATCCAGGGGACCCCCCCCCCCCCCCCCCCACCCCTACAAGTAGCCTGTCTGGAAAGCATGGCCCTGGGGAATGAGACCCGACCGTCGCCCTCCCAACCTGACTCCCGTCGAAAGGAACTCGGTCTCACCGTGGAAGGATGTGCAGCTGTTACGCTACGATATTCATTCCAGCCTCGTCGCTGGCCGTGTTGCGGGTCAGGTGATTCCTTGGTTCTCGTGCTGCTGTCTAACAGGATGTCGTGAAATTTCAAGGAGTGTTCCGTTGTACTTGATTTCCTCGGCTCGCTTCGAGCTTGGATCGGTGGATGCATCGAACGCAGCAGAAGACCGAATTACTTCTTCCATTCGTCTCCGTCTTTCTCGTAGAAGAGAGTTTGCAGCGCTGCACAAAAGCGAGACGAACAATTTCCCCTCTGCAGATCGCATTCCGAATCACTCCGTCTCGTGAATCGATTGTGGGTTTTGTCCGCGTCTGTTCTTCTCGCATCACTAGCGAGCAGAATGAACGTCCAGCAGACCTGGTCTACCCACCCATTGAAGAGGTAACGATTGCCTTTTTTCTTTCTATCAAAGATCTCGTTTCACTTGTCACCACCAATGTCCTTAGTCTCTTGTCATCTAACTTTGACCCACTTCGCGCCATAAACTTCGGTCATTTATTACCTGTAAATTGCAACAGAGCAAAGCAGTGATACTAAGACGCTCTTCAAACGTCTAACTTAATTCTCTGCCACTGGTGGAGCTGTAAGCAGCTAAAAGGAAAATAAATATTTCCAGTGATACTGCAATTGAGCCTCAAGGTCACGATCGCTCTAGGTGAGCGGTAGTCAAAGTGAAGAAGGTTCAGTGGTATGAAAGCCCCACAGTATTTTGATGCTGGGGTCTTTCCACGAGGATTCTGACGTTAGATCTCGCGTCCACACACGGACAACCGTGATCTGTCTCCAGGCATGGAGCGTGTAGCAATGCATGGTGGAAAGTAAATTTGAAGGTTGATTGCCTCGCATCAGGAAACGTCCGAGAAGGAATAAGTGTGTAACTCTTGGGAAATGTGAAATATATTCTTGTCGAGAAAGAAGAGGTGCAGAAATGGAAAGGGAAAGATTTACTGGGGGTACTGGCGGCGCACTTCTTGCAAAAAGTCTCGGAACGGCGTCTTCCCGTGGAGAGATCGCCACCACCCCTCTGCGAGGTGGCCGGGGAGCATGTCGTGGCTCGTGTCGCGCGATCTCTCGACGATCCTCTGCTTCAGGCCTCTCCACTGCGCCTCGATCCGCCGAGTATCCTCTCCTAAATTTCAGCATTTTATTGCGTCACATCAGAGGCAGGACCCGAATACGGAATAAATCTCACCCTCCGGATCGTAGCGAAGAACCTGATGGACGTAGCCCCGCCTCGACAAGTCCCTATAGGCAACCCACTCGTCCGAGCGGACGGTGCTCCCGGGGAAGACGTGCCTCTCGACGATAGGTAGCAGTGTCCTCTCGTCCCTTCGATCGACTATGAATAATCGTTTCTCGACCACTCCGTCGTGACGCCACACCATACCGAACACCCACGGCCCGACCACTCGGTTCCCATAATTTTGATATGCGGGTGAGAAGTCGTGACGTGCCGACAACCGCCCACGCTTGTTCTTCCACCTGCCGCTAAGGAGCCAAAAATTCGTTTTAATTTGGGTGCATTTTCTTCCAATGGAGATTGTGTCCCACTCACCGAAAGCAACTCTCGTCGAGCTCGACGATCTCGCCGGGCCCGCCCATCGGCGGTGCTGCACGGAAAGCCTCGAGGAGAACCTCTCGAATGAAGAATCTCAAATCGACGACCGTCTCGTCGCGTAACGGGGAAGCAAGCGACGACAAGGAACCGAGAGTTTGCCAGGTATTCAAATCTACTCCCCAACAATACACCATGAAAAGGACGATCCGAACACCTAGGTTCGAGCAGGGACGGTCGTTCCGATCCAGGAAGGAAAACCAGTTGTCTCTGTTTCCCAAGCTGGCTCCTGCGTCGTTGCTGGTGCCTACAGGTCGAGAACATGCAGGACACTCGGCACGAACTGTGGACGTGTTATTAGAAGTCGAGACTAACTACGAACGACGATGGATTGAAACGTACCGTTGCAACCAGCAGAGGTGCCAGCAGGCTTCAGCTCGCAATCAGGCAGAAGCCCCTTCTCTCGAGCAAACCGAATGGCGGAAGCGTCGTCACGCAGGAGAGAACATAGACCGAAGATGTCAGGATCACGGACTCTCATTCTCAAGGGATTCGGAACGTTGAGTTCTGAACGAACGTGCTTAAGCTTATATAGCTAGGCATCACGTATCACCTTTCCGATCTCAGATGAGATAAACCGGAAGGGCGATAGGGGTGAGGGGAATGTCAACCGAAACGAAATCCGGTAAAACTTCCGGCTCCAGGACCGGTTCCATCGTGGGCCTGTGACAGATTTTCCTTAGTTACAGTTGCACGAGTTCGATGGTGAACGACGGAGTTCGGTCTCGTGTGAGTGCGAAAATGCGATCAGGGATGGAAGTTCCCCGATCTACTAAAAGAAAAAGACAACCGCAGGCTCTTCTACGCGCGGGTGACGAGGTCTGCTGGGCGTTCGCATCGCTCGCCGTCACGTTGAGGCAGTCCGTTCCGCGTTCAACGTGGGAGTGGAGGTTCAATCCTCATCGGAAATCAGTTGTTATGGGGAATCGAAAGCGTGCACGAGACGAAGGAATTCTCCCCGAGCACCATTGAGTGTACCGATTACCTCTGCCTCCAGAGGCTAACCAGACGAACCTCCCGCCCCATTTCGACCTGGAACATCCTAACGACGAATCTCCCCGGCACGAGCCATTGCAGGCGCTGCATCCCGATCGCCGGAACCTCTTCCGCGCCCGACGATGGCCAGAACTCGTTGAACATGGAGCATCGCTCTCTTCCTAGCGGTAGGCACAACTGTCTTGTTTCTTTTAAAATCCTTTCCGCCTTGAAGGTCCTGGGGAGGAAATTCCCATGTGTGAATCTTTGATTGCGCATCCTTCCGCAGAAGTTTCTCAGGTATATTCATTGCGACGCATGCAAAACAGTCATGTCGCATGCTAAACAGTCATGTCGCATGCTAAACAGTCATGTCGCATGCTAAACAGTCATGTCGCATGCTAAACAGTCATGTCGCATGCTAAACAGTCATGTCGCATGCTAAACAGTCATGTCGCATGCTAAATAGTCATGTCGCTAGAGACAGAAAAATCAAGCAAATTCCTCGCTCACGGAGAGAGCATGATACACCGCCGTCTCTCAGTCAAAATGCACTGTGATAGGAGTTCGACGGCGCGGTGTAAACTCAGCCCGAAGTGACAGAAGTGCCGATAAATAATTGGCGATAACCCCGATTTAACCCTTTCAGACAATGGACATTGTAAATGCAATGTCCATTCCAATGGACATTGCATTTACATCGTGTCAATGGCAATTTCCATATTACGCTACAATGGGCTCAGTCATGCATGGATCAGTTGTTTCCGAGGCCTTCTTTCACCCATTAGTTTTGTAATCTTCAGTTACTTAATTAAATGCATAATATATCATATATGGTATGATATGGTACATTTATGCAAAATACGAAAACTACATGTAAAGCATGAAAATTTCAATTACAGTCACGAAAAAGCTCAAAAATGCTAAAAAGGATATTACTCCGATAGCGGCCTTAATTCAGGTCTGAAAGGGTTAAAAAAAAAAAAAGTTCCACGTTCAGTTCGTCTTTTCAGTCAGTACGTGAAGATTTCCTCTAATCGACTTTTCTAATTCTTTGTGAATAAGTCAAATCTTGGACGAGATACAAAAAAAATGTCGGAATTATCAGCGAGGAAACTTTTGTAGAGGGAATTTTGCCTCCTGACTTCTGCTGGAAAGGCGTCTCAAGTCATTTGAAACGGACTCTCGTTTCTTCTCATTTTATTTATCGTTTCTTCTCATTTTATTTATCGTTTCTTCTTCGCATTTGGGTTCTTTTCGATGTTTCTCCAAATAGGCCGGGTATTGAGGCCTATTTTTAATTTATTTCTGGGATGAGTGAAACCATGGCGAAACTCCGCCTCTTCGCTGATTAAATGTTAACATTTTCAGCAAACCGAAAGTTTCACAAGCGGAAGACGAAGGGCGATAAGTCCTTCGAAGGGGCCCGGAAGCGAAGAGTTCGCTTTCTCCCGTTCGTAGGCGTTGAAGTTCTCCGTCAAGGACTTGGGAGATTTGGCGTGTCAAACGTATATTCAGGACGTTGGGGGGGGGGGGAAAGTGTTTTTTTTTTTGGCGCGAATTTTTTAGGGGTTTGGATGAGGATGAATTCGATTGAGAAATGACTGCAGCACCTGGAATTGTCCGTTCCCCGCTAAAGGCCTCTGCCATTCTGTATTCCATGCACTTAGAAAAACTGTTTAATCCAGTGGGAACGACGAGGATTCGAGTAAAGTGAGAAGACCTCTTAGCTATGCTTGCCCAACACAAACAGTACGCCCCCTCAAGGAAATATATTACCACGGGCGGCAGCGGTATAAAGAGAAGAATATGACCCAGCGTAAATATCTGGAGTCACTGAGAGCATGCCTCGTTCCCCCTCGGCTGCCATCCCTCCGACGGCCCAGATTCGGCAACGAAATGCCGAGCCGGGGGAACGGACGTGCTCGCTACCTTTCGCCCGCGACGAGGCGCTCCCGTCTGATCTCAGCACCTCGTTCTGAAACTTGGAACCGTGTGGATCCCGTGGGACCTGCAGCTGCTTCCCCGGGGCCACGTTGGTCCGGTGGGACCAACACTGGAGGCTCCACTCCGCTCGAATCCCATTCATTGACAGTCGCAATATAGATGTCGCTGTCGATCCTCCACCTATCGTGCGCTCATCGACAATTCCTCTTTGGCCGAGCAGCGGACTCAACACGGGTGCTACGTTGAGGGATCCCTTTGAGTCGAATCCCCAAGCAGGTCGATTCCCGATTCCGCTGCCACGAAGCACGCCTCAAGGAAGTGTCGATAAGCCCCCAGATGTCACTGTAATATTTCGACCCCCCGCCCCTTGGAGTGTCGCCTCTAGTTATACTTTCTACTCTATGCCTGCAGGTGCGCTAGTGTCGGTCTCCATGAGATTCATAAGAAAAAAGCTTATGTTAACTGCAAAGCCAAGTGTTGGAAAAATGGAAAGCAGATGAAAAGGCAACAAAACACCGTATTGCGAAACGAGCGTCGCTAATTGCACCAAGTCATTCAGGAGTCGACTCGAGCGAAACTGAAGAGGCAACGTAACACTTGGCAAACTTTAGTTCGTGGTATCAGCCTTGCTAGAGGTCTCGGCCCCACCGAAGGCAGCGTCTCCTCACAACCGCTGCAGAGGGCTGCTCCGAATCCAGACGAGCATCTTGCGTGCATGCAACGCGAACTAGAGAGTGCCAGCCCAGGTACAGATTTCCCATTCCACTTGACCCTGTACCACTGGAATAATCTTATTTACCGCATCCTAATCATCCAACCTTGAAATAAATATTGGCCGTCATAGGCCGGGACAACTAGACATGGTTCGCCCTCGATGGTTCGTGCGTCCGCATCGCGTGGAGATGGGAGTAGAGTATATGTAGGATGCCAGGTGCGCATTTCACGCGTACCCCTAGCAACCTTGTTTACGCGGCCGAGAGCAGCCGCTCTCCTCCTCTCCATTGTTTACTATGGATCAGTCAGCCGCCAGGGCTGGAAGGGAAGTGGATGTTTCCGTGGAAGACGGGCACCCCGACCCAGGCGGAAAGCTGCGCGTGCGCATTGTGTCGTGTCGTCCGGTCGCTATGGTTACTGCGGACAGACAGAATGAAAAAAAATATCTGGCATTCCCCCATAGTACCTATTGGAATGCCAGATAACTCCACGCCCGAATCCCGTTCATCTTCCGGAGAGCGAAGTCCACATGCCTCTCGTCGAACGACTTCCGTCACGACGAGGAGGACGCTCGCAATGTCCGCGACGCTCTTCACGCCGTGCAGGCGATATCGAGCGAATAAGACACCGTAAATACCCAATTTTCATAAATGTGGTCCGGCACCCGGAAGGCTTTGTGCCTTTATCTTCAAGTGCAGCCGAGAAAATCGGGTCGGCGAAGCTGGAATAGGAAATCCATCCATTTCCGCCATTCGATTCTGGTTCGCCGAATGACGTCGTTCGGTGAGGCCCTTCAGTCCTCGAAATAGTCGAGAAAAATAGTCTTCGTCCAGCCAAAAATAGTCCTGAGCGCCCTCTCCATCTTTCATGCATCAATAATCCAGAAGAAAAAATTAGCACTCAATCTCAAACTGAATCAGGAAGATTTTCCTATTTTTATACGGCAGGGACCCCCAACAAACTCATTCGGTATTCATTTCAACTCAAAATTACGCCAAAGAATATTTTTAGATTTCCTCGTCAAAATCGCTCAGTTGAGGAAGACGGAAGAGGTGGAGGCACGGGGAAGGTCGGTAACTCCGTCACTGGCGTCGCAGTATTGCATCACTGAGCCATTGCTATGCTACATCGTCTATGGGTCTTTTATCCCTCCCTATCTATAAAAAAAAAATAATTCAAGATGACTTGGAAGTGATTCGTAAGCGATGGCTCTCGGGATTCATGAAACGAAGCTGAATATTTTGACGCATCACCGGGTGTCCCAAACGTTTTTAAATTCCATTTTCACAAACGGTACATAATTAAATGATTTGTTACGAAATGTCCACCGCCTAAAACATGTCTGTATTCGACATTTTCAGTTCCTGTTTCTCCTCTTACAAACGTCTCGAATTCGCTGTTTGAGATGTTGATCTTCACTTCGTCACACGGGCTTTCAGCATCCCCACCCCCCCCCCCAAAAAAAAATTATAATTAGCGGAAAATAGAAGAAAAAAAGAAAAACTTTAGCATTGTCATTGGTTCCAGACTTTTGGGATAACCCGGATTCCGGATCTCCTTCGTCTTGGGTCGACTATCTATCCCGATCGAGCTTGAGATCGGATTCGCACGATTGGCGGTTCTCGCTCCGCATATCGCCGTGTTCTCGGGCGATCGAAAGGATCGAGCAGCAATGTTCCGAGAAAAGAGAGCCAATCTTTTTCGCGTCATCCACGAGATGTCCCAAGCAATCGAGGAATAGGCCTTCTGAATGAGACCAGAGCCCCTCTTGTTCCCTATTAGCCGGTCACCCAGGATGGTTGTGGCGAGAGCCTCCATGGATGTGAAGAGCAGAGGGTCCGCATTCCCCCGAGAGGAATCCACGTCTAAACTGGGGAGGAAGGAGAAACAGGAAGAAACAGGCAGTGAAGGCCTTTTCCTTCCATGGCGTGGAAACGACGACTTCATTCGAGAATGACTTGTGTATTCGATGACCTGTCCGTGTAAACGGCTGGGTATGCTCGCGGCATATCATCGGGAATGTAAGCTCTTCTAGTGCGTCGTGTACAGTTTGCTCAAGAATGTTCCTGCGATATATTGTCAAAGACACATCTCGGTCTGCAACACAGTGGCAATGGGAGCCGGTAGCTCAGGTTCCCTATCTCTTGACCTATGATTTGAATATAGAGAAGACAATTCAATGGGACGGGTATCGGGGAACCATTTGTCGGTGATCCAATCATGGCCCTCATTTCATCGAGAAGGTTTCTATACTGAGACCACCATTCATCATATTCAAATGAGCCCATGCATGGGAGAAATCACAGCAATTAGAGTCATATTTGAGTATGAACCCAGTCCGGTCTCTTCGATGAGCAAATATGAGAAAGCCTAACTGCAAACATATTTCAACGTGGAAATTGAAGCAGAAACCGAATAATTGCATGCTTTGTTTTTGGTTCATGTTATTCGTCGTACTGAAAGAGACGCCAAAATCTCTTCTATGGGTCTGACTATTGATTAGATGCGAACAGGATCAAACAGAAAATGTGAGGAAAGTTTCATTCCGTGTCCCTCTCCATGAGCCATTATCCTATGAGCCATTTTCGAGGTAGTTTTCATCTCTTTCTAAGAGGATGCTCTTTTATACCGAAAACTTGATTTCACATCATCACAGACAGGTCAAAGAAGCAGAGGTCATCCGGAATGAAGTCCTTCTTTCCACGGGAAAAAAAGGAATTTGGAAAGAATATGTCCTTTACTGTCTGGTTTCTCATTGCTTCCCCAGTTGTTTATTCCTATCGCCTAAATGTAGAATTCTCGTCCCCCCGTGACTTCCCCTAGAAATGACAATTTTCGTTCACTTTCCTGTCCCTGGGCGAAATAGCTAGACCTCATCGATGAAGTGGTGAATGGTTGATCGTGAGATTATGTCTGGATGAAGAGGAAGAAACGAAGTCAAGGGAAGCTCGGAGTTTGAGTAAATTGTTCAGAGGAAGAATTGAGGGAAGGGATCGTGAGGCTGTTGCATTTTGGCCACGAGCGCGTTAGGATTCCTCTAACGATGGCAGAGAAGGGAGTTTGCCGGTCTCCAAATTGCGGTGCTGTGAATTTCATGCATGCTGTAGTGACTTGGTCCTCCGTCTGTCCTACTTTCTTGCGTGGCTTTTCTTCGAACCAGGGACGATCTACATTTCTGCGTTGCTCATAGTCCCCAGACGAGGGGAGCAGATTTTCTCGACTCGTCACCGATGGCCTCGGTGATTCCAGAGCCCGTCAGCCCTGTTCCGATCGAAGCGGCTGCGACTCGACTCCCTCATATAACCGTCCACTTCCGCGACGCTTGAGGAGACTGGAATCATTCGGACACGGGTGAGTACTTTGTGGATTCCCTGTTGGAGCACTGGTTTTCAAGGGTGGGGCTTGGAAGATCAGCTTTTACTTCCGTCCTTCGGAAGACGAACGGCAGCTACGGGATCCACACGTGGCGTTACTCGAACAGCTTTCGCGCTAGATGTTCGTCCGGATTCGGATTACCCGGCGTTTCCAGGGTCGATCAGACGGTCTAATCACATGGCCCCACGTAGCAGGGATTCCCATAGGCCTCTTTGGCTTCGTCCACGAACGAGAGACGTGAATCCCTGAACTAGGCCAGATTCCGTGCGATCCATGAGGTAACGGTAACTGTTTCACTCTATTTTATATTATTATTGTATTTTTTTCATTTGGGTTTCCTATTTTATATTTGGTGTTCCAATATGACACCCGGCTTTTAAGTCATTGATATATTATGGAAAGGACATCGCGGTAATTCCTGCTGTACATTTCGCAGTAACTAGCAAATACTTTCCACATCTTCCAGGACCTGTATGCAAAGCGGGATTACGCTCACTTCTTCCCATATATGGAAATGAGAATTCCTCTATGGTAATCGTCCCATGCCGTTCATGAGAGGAACCGCAGAACCTTCCCCGGAATCGTCTTCTCACCTATTGCTGCGGTTGCTTGCTGTCCCTGTCATCATCCCTGTCCCTGGACAGAAGAGAAGGCAGTAGTAGTTTACGGTCCCTCTTTCTTTCCCATAGCATTCTACCGACGACCAATTTTATTATCAGCACCGATCCATACAGCAAGCAGAGCTAGAGGAGCAGAGGCGGCATCCCCACGGCCACGCAGCAGTAATCCAAGTGCGGGGCGTCCTCGAGCGGGTCGTCCACCAGCGGGTCGTCAGTGCATCTCTGGTCTCCGCCGGAGACGCATCTCCCGCCCATCACCTTGTTGGGGTTGCAGCTGCGAGGAGGCAAGTATGAGCAATCTTCCGTTTTTCTTCATCTTTTCTACTTCCAAGACTTTCGGAAGTCCAGCAACAAACAATCCCCCCTACAACCAATCGTGGTCGAATTGCAAATACAGATAGAAACGTGGCGAATCTCCAGGGGCCAAGCGAGC